TATATATATATAATCCCAATTTATTTATTTTTCCTTCTTTTATGTTTGGGTAATTTTTTTTTAAAATGGGACACACCACCCATTTCTCAGCTAAGCTGCTCAGCACTTACTCTTTAATTTTCTTTGGAGCATGGTCTCTTTTCAGTTTTTGATCACAGGCAAAATTAGTTTTTCTGGGCTAATGAAAAGATTTATACTGTGTTCTGGCTTGTACTACTCCCTTTTATATGGCCTTAGGCAAGCCACTTGAACTCAATAACCCCATCTGTAAAATGGGAATAATCTATACTTAGCTTTCTGTGTTATGTGCTTTGAAATCTCTGCTAGGTGTGGCTGTTAATATTATCAGACAGTCTTTTGACATGGGTTGCTTTTGATTTGGCTTTCAACGAACCTGCATAGTCTGGCCAGTATATTTTATATATCTTAAGCTGTCAACTCTGAATTCCCTTTTCTGAAAGACAGCTCCCAACACCTCAGTTGTCACCATGCTGAAGATAAATGACTCACACATTGAAGGCCCACACTAGCACCAGTTACCTTCCATTCCTGTTGGTGCAGAAGAAACTAGGTCCACTTGGCCTCTTCGTAGAATAAGATCCAATTCTGAAAACTGTGGAAGGAACCCTCACATCCTTTGCAAAACTGAGCTGATTTGGATTATTCAGCGCATTAACCTAGATAAGTCATGGCTGGAATATCTGGAAAAGTTTGGCTCATTATTTCATTGCTCACCTCTTTTTACTATTGTGTCCTGCTCTTCTGGGTTGTGATTGGGCTAGAAAGCTGAAGAGCCAGAGTGCCTGCAGAAGGGAGGTTTTAAGATGCTTCCAGACAGAGAACATCAGAGTTCACAGGACAGCCTCTTCCCCTGCAATCAGGAGCCAGAATTTACAGGCTCACAATGGGCAAGTCTACATGTGCAATTGATGCGAACAAATAAATTCAGGAGCTTATTGCTTCAGAATTTTTTGCTTCAGAGTGCACCATTTGAATGTGTGCCCAAGAGCAAAAAACTCCAGAGTTTATTCATACCCAGTATATTGGGCCTGGTCAGAGCAGCCCCAGCTGGCACTGGCTCAGGACTGCTCCAACCAGGCTCAGTGTGCTGCAAAGGGGCTAGCTGGGGCATAAGGGTGCTTCAGCATGGGGCTAGCCAGCAGGCAGCCCGCACATTGAAGCACCCTCATGCCCCAGCCAGCTGGGCAGCATCTATATGTACAATAGAAGCTCCAATAGTAGTTCCATGTGCTCTAACAGGGGCACATGTGTAGACACAGACATTTACTAGGTAAGGTAGCTCAGCAGTAAACATCTCATGTAGACACACCCAATGTCTTTGAATAAGTTCCACAGTTGCAAGGGTTATCCACAGTTACTATTGTTATTGCTGTTCACCGAAAGCATGATAAGACTTTGCAGACAAAGAGAAGAACAACTAGACACTTGTCTTTCATGGCTAATTCAGTTATGTATGTCAGATATATACTACTCAAAGTTTAAAATGCCAGCTCCCTTCCTCTCCCCTCACCATTTCTGCCAGCAGGATGGCGCAGAGGGGAGCAGAATTTCAGAGCAATCCAGGATGGTTCAGGTGGCTGCCCAGGGAGCTCCCCTCTCTGTTGAACCATCTCTGTTACCTTTAACCCCCTGGTGAACTGCAAGTGAGGTCTGAAAAGTAGGCTGGTAGCAGGAGATGGCAAACAACCACTATAAATTGCTCATTCCATCTCTTAAGGTCAATTTAGGTCAGCATAAAAATAAGAGATCAGTTAATGCCTGGAGCAGTATTAACTGTCTCCCCATGGTTTGTTCTCCATTAAAGTGAGCAGAGAGCACAGGTACTGCTGGAAAGATAAGAGCCATAAACCCACGAAGCTGGCTCTGCTGCTTTTGTTCTGTGCCTGGGATGGGAAAGAGGACAGAGAGAAGGGCTCCCCCTCATAACTGATCAGATGTCCTCACAGGTGATGTCCTCACAGGTACTCCTATACCACTGCTGGCCACACATAAATGTGATGTTGCTTCAGATATAAATGCTCCCTGGTCTCGTGCATCTTACAGGATAAATGCTTTCCCCTGAATTACACATCCCTTTGCACAAGAAGGGAACATAAGATCCTTACTGCTTTTCTGTCATCTCATTCCAAATGCTCTTTTGCATAAAATTGCTCTCTGAAAATCCTTTTTCGCATGTGCACGACTCCTCCCTTATGTATCAGTGAGATTTCTACTTGTGTAGTGGGAGCTGAGCTCTGCTGTATGGATCTGGGAGTAGAATTTTACCCTAATAGAGAGCTTTGTCTTTCTTCTCAGTTGACCAGAGTAATGAAGTTTCCAGCTAAAAATTCTGCTGTATATGGAAAGTCAACTATAAATATTCCTTCAACTGACTGACATAAAGCACTATAATACAGCTTGATTCGTGCGATGTTGCTCCCTTACTAATACAAGTAATAGCATTCTGTTGTTGCCCCCTTAGAGGATTCACATTATGGCGACTGCTCCTGTGTTCATTATGGTACTATTTTATTTTTTCTTCTCTCCAAAATTCAGGAGCCTACTGGCATTGAGTATCCTCTTATGGATTCAGCAAGTACCATCACCACCATAATGGGACCCAGTGCTTTCAGTATCCCTCTCCCAATCAGGCAGAAGTTGTGTAGCAGCCTCGATGCCCCTCAGACTAGGGGCCATGACTGGAGGATGCTGGCCCACAAACTGAAATTGGACAGGTGAGTGTGTTGTGAACTCAGAAGTACACTGTTGATGTCAGGGATGTCATTGCAGGCAGGCTCAGGGGTATGCACAGGAAAATGGCTCACCTGCTCTTCTCAAAGGTCCAGTTCCATTCCCACCGATATCAGTGGGACTTCAACGGGATAAATATGCCTCAAACAGCACTTGGACTGGCCTGCAGAGAACCTGGGTTTGGCTGAAGTACACAGGCAATAGTCAACACCAGCTATAAACAGGGAAACCAGAGCCTCAGATGGTCTAATTCAGAATAGCTTCACTGAGGCCAGCTTAGTGCCTGGCCCAGAAGGCCAAAGCATGTATACCTAGTGCAGGGACACATCAGCTAATCAAGTTGAACTCTCCAGCAGAATACACAGTCTGGAGGCATTAGAAACTTTGTGTGCTTTGGAAATAATTTGAATGAGTGAGTGGGGCAACTCATCTTACAAAGCCATTTCCTTTTATTCTGCTACAGGTACCTAAATTATTTTGCCACAAAATCGAGTCCTACTGGTGTGATTCTAGATCTCTGGGAAGCCCAGAATTTCCCTGATGGCAACCTGAGCATGCTGGCATCAGTCCTCGAAGAAATGGGAAGGCATGAGACAGTTGTTTCTTTGGCAGCAGAAGGAAATTACTGATGCAGGAGTGGGATGAACTGGAAGGAATGGAAACAGGGAGTGGTATTGCCCTGTCACCTACAAATAAGAAACAAAATAAAAACCCGCACCAATGAGTTTCACAAGACATATTTCAAAGAAGAAAAAGCAGCCCTGACTCTCACATATGTTCTTCTTGTACATTATCACAGGATTTTAAAAAAAAACATGCAAAATTGTACCTTGAAAATATAAATCAACCTAACGTTCCTCTCAGCTTGGCTGTACGCTGCTTGGTACAGGATTTTACAGTTTCCTAGGAAACGCTTTTTATTGCTATCCAGATATATGGATAAACTTTCTTAACAGTCCCAGTTTCTATGGACGTTGTTTACATCAAATACTGGACAGGGGTAAAGAGACTGTCCATGGCTCTCTATATTTTTGTTTAAAGCCATTCTAGACAAAGCTGTGGACAGTCAGTTGTGGCTATCTCAGATGATGAATTTCCAGTCAGTTTCCAGTCACATTCAGACTTTGGCTACAAATCCATGCATCAAGTATCTCAAGATAATCCTCCCATCAGCGTTCTGTTTCCTAGACCTAGTTGAAAACCAGAATTTTAAATGTGTGCATCTGGAAAGCAGATTATCTGGGTGCTAAGCAGGAACACACATACCTCTCCCTGCTTTCCCCAGGGGGATCCCTTGGGTCCTTTGTGGGAATTAGCTGTAGGTTGGCAGGGAAGAAAGGGATCCATTTCCAAATCACAGTATAACCCCTACCCCATTAAAGCACGCGTGTGCGTGTGTTTGTGTATGCGTGTGTGCGTGTGCAAGATATGTAATTTGGAGTGGTGGAAAAAATACATGCAAAAATATTGCTATGATGCTTAATTACTGATTAGTATCTAGTGCAAGGATTACTATTATTATTATTGCTATTATTATTTTAATTTAGAATTTTTGTCGGCAGCAGGATGACTCATTCAATTGTTGGCAGAACCTGTTCTCTCCGTTCTTGGGCTGCTGAGGTTCTCATAAAACACTTCTCTTCCAATGCCTTTCTCCTTCCCTTTTTCAGCTCTAGTACTCACTTTCTGAGCCCTCTGATAGCCAGTCAGAAGTGCTCATGTGATGTCAGATCCAACATTGATATCAATTGGTGTAGCTTCTTTGAACTCAGTGATGATTTACACCACCCAGGGGTTTCGTCCCATATGCACCAGTTACAGTAAGGTATAAGTTCTTGCAATAAACCTGAAGGCCGTTTGCTTGGACAGTAAGTGGCCCACAGGCACTCTGAATGCCAACTCTGCCCCATGTCAGTGCTGTGAGTGCACTCTCCCAACACAGTCCCTCTACTTTTCAAAAGCTTTTGTGCAAGAGTACATAGAGCACTGTTAGTTTCTGCTGGCTTGTGCATTCATGCATGACATTAGGCAGCATACATGTGCAAACCTGCTCTTTCAAAAGGCTCTTCAGAAAGTTAAGGCTTTAGGGTGTAATTTAGTTAAGAGGTCTTGAGCATCTGCATTGCCTGTTGACATCACATGGAATTGTGAGTGCCCAGCCCTCATGAAACTCAGCCCCTACATTTAAACCTGTACAATAATCAAGGACAATAATGGGAACCGAGAAGCCACTCCATTTATATTTCTGGGCAAAACTGTACCCTGATCTGCATGGTCACCAAGTGGGACAGGGCAGTATAGCTAACTGAGTCATTCTCTGCTATGCTTTGTCCAGCCTATAAATACTCCTCTAGGTTTTCTTAGGAGTTCTTGCTGGAACTCATTTCCCATGTAGTTGAACAGACAAACTTGTTTTCATCCCATGTCCCTCTTGGCCATTTTGATGCATGTAAACAGCTGATGTGGAGAACTTGGCAAGTGAAACTTGTTTTCCCAGTTGTTGTTTCTTTGCAGACTTGTTTTGCTTTGTGCTTAGTGTGAAGAGTGACTCCATAATACAATGCTGAGCATATCATTTCAGAAGCTGTTTCTAGCCTTTCCTATCTTTTGCTTCTCATGGCAGAAGAGCTTTCTCCCCCATATAAAGCCCCATAGATAAATGCAAATTATCTATCTTCAATTTACATTTGTCTTTTTTTCTCCTGAAGTTTTCAAGTATGTATTTTTAAAAGAAACCTTAAAATGTCATTGGTTAAAATGGAAGGTGAATTTCAACTGTCCTTTCTCCCATTTTGACATTTCCATAGGCTTTTTATTCTCAGCTCAGTGACTGTTCTCAGCAGTGTATTTATTAAACAGAGAGTAGTGTTCACAAAACGTTCCCTGTGTAGAGGGCAGTCAGTCAGCCACAGACAAGCGGCCAAATCAGTGTTCAGATTAGATCAAAAGGCACAGGTTCTTACTTTCAAAGTGTAACTATGTTCAAGATTCAGCTGTTCATGTGAGTGCAGTCTTTGCCTATATGATCCTCGTCTGCCTGTCCTTTTCAAACGCAGCGCTGTCTTAATGTGTGATACAAAATCCTGTGAAGCCAATGGGAGTTCTTCCACTGAGTTAAGCAGGCTTTGGCTCATGATCTTAGCCTTCCACTTGGCCTGTAGCCTTCTGAATCTTTTTGCTTCAGTTTGTTCTCTTTACCCACTTTTCTGACACCTTCATTTCTTGCTCGTTTGGTGGCCTCTCTGCACAGCAGCAACATTTTTACCATTTTTCTTACTCTGTTCTTCCCCCAGTTCTCACAGAAAAGTGTGCCATAGCAGAGTTAACAGAGGAACAGCTTTTGGATCCAAACAAGTACCTCTCTTTCATGCTTCTCCACACTTCTTTCCCACTCTCCTGCTTCAATACTCTTCCAGATCTGATGATTTGTTGTCTCTCAGATCCTTGCCTTCTACTGCTAGGATCCATCCTTTTTGTATAACCCCTAAAATCATTGATACACTCTGCAGAGGGGTGTTTGCATGGGGAAGAATATGTGCAGCCTTCTCATATGGGTCATAAGCAGAAGCTTCTGCTATTCATAGGTTATGCTGCATTATGCATACTCTTGGTGCTGGTGCTCCCTTTACCAGCTGTTTCTTCTCAGTTGCTTGACACCTCTTTCAACAAAGAGAAAGGAAAAGGATTTCTGTAAGAGATTCTGTTACTGGGTCAGAATCATCCATCAACTGCTTTGACATTGATCAGTATGAAAAACTTAGCTCAAAGTTTGCTGGGTGGGTCTCTCTCCAAAGAAGGTTGTCACTTGTTGGGAAAGGAGACAGTGCCCTAGGCAAGAACTACAGCTGTTTCTATTCCGACCCATTTGCCTGGGTATTTAGCAATTGGAAAAGACCTTAAATAAAATCCAGTTTGAGGAAGATGGGCCTGTTTTACTGTCAAGCACTAGGGTTCACATGATTGTCAAGGTTATGATGCTACCATGCTTCTGGTTATGGGCCATCCCAAATGTTGTACATGCCATCGTGAAAAGGGGAGGGGAGCAACAGTAGAGATCTATGGACAACATTAGTAGTGGGTAATCAGTCATAGGGCAACTAGACCTCCTTAGATAACTGGGGACTCAAAGGCCTCCAGGGTCTCACCCAGGCCAGATTGTTTCTCACTTTAGTTTCCACCTCAGCTTATGCTTCTGCCTATATTACTTCAGTTGTGCCCTTTTTTCTCTTTTTTATCAAGTAAGACATAGTGGGAAAATTTTCCTCTCCCCACTCGAAAGACCTAAGTGGGTCTTCAATGCCAGAACATTGTGATAACAGGTGAAGCTCAAAGACATCTTTCCAAACCCTGTTGGGACTGTTCCATGTTCCACATGGGATATATTGGAAAATGGGAGAAGGGGGAAAGGAGAGCAAGAAATAGAAATTTCTTTACAAAATTACTTGGTTCTGTGAAGCTAGAAACAGTTCTTTCCTTTTACTGCTTGTACACACTGCCATCTCGTGGTAAAGTGCGTGAACTTTAGTACTGATACCACTAGGCCAGTTGAAGAATAATAAAGATGATCTTAAGTACTACTTGATGGAAATACTTTTTTATGAGGTGGCTGTTTAGAATGGCAATGAAGTTTTGCAGACAGCATGACTCAAGAATTGCCATAAGACTTTCGTCAGGTAATCAACTTGTTTAAAAAAATGACTGCAGGCTTCTATCCTCCACTTCTTCACTTCTATTAACTGCTTCATATTTTAGTTGCCCACCTCAGAATGATATGTTAGTACTGCCCATCACACCATCTCCTCATTACATGTCAGTTGCTGGTGATATAAATAATATATATATTATATATAAATATATATAAAAATATCTACAGACTACAAAGAAAATCTTTAATTTCTGATTTAAGATCACTATTGGACAGAGTTTTTTTAGCTTAACGTCATTAAGTTGTTTTGTGTTGTTTGCCTTGTAAAGGTGACTGTCAGTGTATTTGATCAGTCCTTTTATTAGTTTTACATGCACATGAGCTGTATCATACTGAACAGTAAGAGAGCTGAAGCTTATTACAAATGTTGATATGTCTGAAGTCAGCAAGGCCTCGTTAGACAGTATTTGCCTTTGTAGGTGACAGGGGTTGACCAAGACTCTTCTTTCACATCACCGGCAGAGATGTAAATACTCACAGGCCATGTAGCAGTTCAGGATGCACACAGAGCAAAGATATATTAGCTTTGGTTTCTTGCTGTTTCTGTTGCTCACGCATAAAATGGATGTACTTATGCACTGTAAGCCTGTCATCATGGCCAGTGTCCTAGTGGGAGTCTTGTCTTGCTACCTGAAATAGTTTATTTTCTCTTTTTCCAGGCCCTTCAGGGCATTAGAATTCATTCTATGTTTTAGCCAAGTATTGACTACAGCACTTAGGTTACCTTTATATAAGATAATACTGTTGAGTCTGTTTGATCCTATGTTCAGGGCACTTTGTAAACTACTTTACTGAGAATTTGGAAGTCTTTTCAGGTATTTTTCTGAACAGTCAGCTGGCCCTGAAGTGACTAGTCACTCGCAGACTAGCCTAGTTCATGTCAGACTCTACGGGTGCAGGAGGCTTATGAATGGAAACTGAGCCATTGGCCTTTTCCCTGCAAGGGACCACACACGATAAGGTATTCACTTCAGGGTCACCTCTGCAGCTATTTCCAGTCTCTCCTTTGAACCTTAGTTTGCAAAACTTTGTAAGCCGCACTGCAACTTTTTAAACATTGAACCACATGACATTCCCTTCAAAGTGGGGCTTTCACATGAACACTTGCTTGAAAAGGGGCTTGGAGGTAATTAAAGGAAAGCTACTGTTGGAGGCCTTTAGCTATTGCTGACAGAGTTGTAGTAGGTTAAGTGATTCCTCCCTCCATCCGTACAGCCTAGCTGCTGCTGTGAAGATGATGGCCAGTATTCAAGGCTGTACCATCAATGTAAACTCAGGTGGGCAAAACTGTGGAAGCAGGGGAAACAGCAATATTGATAATTAACCAGCAAGGAAATGTATGAGCTTCTACCAAACCCACTCTGTCTGGTAGTTCGCACTCATCACTGGAAACAAACTAATTTACCTATTGTCTAACCTCAGTAGGGGGCAAAAGGTTTTCATGTGAAAGTTGTTCTTTTAGCTATGCCTGTACAAAAGTATAGATATTCCAGAGATTTCACTCACCTCTACTGCTGAAAGGTTATTTAGCATTTTCTATAATGTTGGTGAAATTATATATTAGTGTTTTAGCTCAGCTGCTGTTTACAGAGAAGTTAATTGTTATGTGTGTATTGTACTATGGACTTGACCTTCTCATTGAAGGATGTCCTATAGTTGTGTCATCTAGTTAACTTCTTGGTTTCTTTTAAGAAGCAGGATGCTACATTTAACATCACAGGGACATCATTCAAAGCAAGACAAAGATGTCTGGATAGATTCATTCTAAGCTATGGTTGCCATGCTGTGGTAGAATTACAGGTCATAGCTGAGAGAAGCCTGCAATTGTATGCTGGAGTTTGTGTAGTATCCTTGTGACTATTTCTACAAATCTATGGTAAACCTCAGATATTGAAAGGAATAATAAAAATAAAAAAACCCACAACCACCCTGCGAAGTATACATAAAGAGAAAATGTGAGCTACAATACACACCTTCTCTCATTTTCTACAGCCTTAGTAAATCATCCCTTCCAACAATACATTCCATATCATGCTTCAACTACTAACTGCCTCAAAGCAGGGCACATAACACAATTAGTATCAGGACTAATTATTCTTCTAGGGATATAATTTGTATGTTGAACACATATGTACGACTTAATTTACTGATATACACACACCTTCCATTTAATACAGAACAGTTATAATGTCAAGATCACACTTTAAATACCTTTCTAAAGCAGGGAGAGGCTTATAACAAGAAATGCTCACGCAACCCAGGCTTAGAAGGTGTATCACAATTACTGTTTGTGTGTCCCGGCTCCACTACAGAAGTGTTACTTAGGGTTTCTTCTTTCTTCTTTTTAAATTTCTTCTGCTGTTCAGAAATGGAGAAGTATTTTTCTTCAGTTTTAATTTTCCTATTGCTGTATCTTCTATGCAATTCCTTTTCTAAAAACTTACTAACAGAGAAGTGCTAGCCATTGCATTATTTGTATTGCTGTACAGTGGAGGTGTGGTTTACTAGTTGAGTGTGCCTCTTATTCCCTCTCCCTTTTTTCTCCTTCCCTCTGTTTGTAAATGCCTGCATTTATTCTGTCAGCCTGACATGTACAAAGTGTAAGAAAGAATTTTTAAACAGGTAATAAATTATATTTATAAGCAACTAGAAAAAAAAACAACCTAACTTTGTGTCCAATTGTTCAGAAAGAAGCCTGTCTCTTCCCATTCCTTGAACATGTTGCCAGGAATGCAGAGCTTTTTCATTTCATTTATTTGCAACTGGGTACCCTCAAGGGATTCATTCTAGCATATGAATCTATGCGGTGGCCCAGTCTCACTTGTAAGATGCTGCACAGGACAGCAGGGATCGCACCACAAATACATGAAGAGTGACAGATCCATTTCCAGCAATTTAAATCAAACTACATTTGTATGGAAAATGGCAATGATGAGATGCTATGTGACAGAGGAAAGATTGGTAAAGCATTTTTATTTGACCTATCAAGGGTAATACAACTTTGGGTAGTCTGATATTTCAGATATGAGCTATATTAGAGATACCTAAGCTAGCATAACATGAACTAGTTCATGGTAGTCTGGAACTCAGCAAGTGAGCTAATCGACTAACCTATTTGTTCAGACTTTGCAGTGAACACTAAGCTCTATGCAGACTACTAGTGGTGTCCAAGATAACTGGGACATTTCTGGACTTCCCTGCAGTCACTGTGTGCAATCATATTGCTCTCAAATCTCACTCCTTTTCACCTGCAGGCATGTTTCTAACCCAATGGTCACAACAAAATAAAGAATGACCATAATCACAACTGTGTGAATTACATTACTGTTTGGAGACCTACCGTGTTTAACACGAGCATTTTAAGGGATCTATAGTCAGCCAAAAGCCCAGGGCCTGGCTGGACTGTGAGTGGGCTCCAGGCCAAGACGTGTGTTGGAGTCCTGTGGGCAGCAGTGTCTGGTCTAGCAGGGTGCCTGAGGCCCAGCCCATTTCCCTTGCCAGCCAAAGAAAGGGTAGAGCAGGATGGAGCCAGGGGAGTTGTGACTATAGCCTGGTGGTTGGTTTGCTGGCCCCCTGAAAGCAAGGTACTGGGCTTGCTGGGAAGGAGGAGCCAGCCCCTTCTGCCCACTTGGGGCTCCCCTCATCAGTTCCCCAGGAATACCAAATAAAGAGCCCAATGGGACGAGCCAGCCGCCATTGCACAGAGACTAGGCTCTGGTACAGGGAGAGGAAAAGTATCAGTTCAGAAGTGGGCAGAGGTACCTGCTTTGCTGTGGGGAGGCCTTGTGGCTGGATTGCCAAGATGCTTTCCTCCCCGGACCTGAGCACTGGTCTGAACAGAGGCTGAGCCCACCTGCCTAATGGTACTGTTCTGGGTTACAAAGTGTCCAAACCCCCCTGAGGGACCTGGCTTTCTGGGGAGCAAAAGTTACCTCTCCTTCTTGGCTGTACGGGAGAAGGTAAGATTTCAAAAATTAGACTTCTTCACTGAGGCCAGCACACCAGGCCTTTGGACTGTGCATGAGCTATGATTTATGCTGGAATCATGCTTCTCATCCCATAGGCAGCAGTGCCTGTAGGCCAGCCAAAAAATCATCCTATGGCACTGATCTGTACCCAAACTCTGGCCCAATTCCCCACAATGGGACCATGTGGCTGGTATCCTGGGTACACGGGCCTTGGGCCAGTCTGGCTAGGCTGAGTAAAGGTGAAGTTTCCCCATCTGGCTGGGCGTTTATCTTGAAGGGATCCTGGGAGGTGCCCTAGACTACCCTGATCGTAACTTGGCAGTAGAAAACCATGGAACTGGTAGAGGGTGTTGGGATGCAGGAGAGGGAGAGAGGGCACTACATGTCGGTTATGTCTGTAGCTCAGCACAGATATCTTTGATGGTAACACCAGGGCATAGCCGCATGCTTACTCCTCAGCCGTCTGGAAGCAGCCATCTATGAAGTGTCCTGAGATGAGGCTGAAGAAGACCCCTGCCAGAACATGCACTGGCTGGTTACTTCTTTCCTGCTGAGTCTGTGGGGAATATGAGGGGCAAGACCATGCTGTAGTGATATGTGGTGAGCAGCTGCTGCTTCCCCATTGCAGGCAGCTCCTCCCTCCAGCAGTGGTTCAGCATAAGCAACTATGTGGCGTCAGGCAGCTATTTTTAAATGATCATCCATGGTGTGATATGCTGGTGAAGCAGTTCATGCTGTACCCCCACACCTGTCTGCTTTAGTGGCGTGGGAAGTGTGAAGAGCTTTTCCAAGAGGACACACCCATATGTGATGGCCATTGGAGCAGGTATGGAGAGGAAGATAGGGGAGAGGTGGGGGTGACCAGAGCACCAGCCCCTAGCTCTGACCCTCTGGTCAGGAACAGCAGTTCATGAGGCTGCCCTGTGGATTGCAGCCTGGGACACCTGAGTGTCTAGTTAATCTGCTGTGTCCTTGTGCGCAAGTCCTGCTGAATCTTGCCAGTGGATGTGTTATGGTTGTAAATAGCACATGCATGCATGCACATGTACACACACACACACACACACACACACACACCCACACACACACACACCCACACACACACACACCCACACACACACACACCCACACACACACACACCCACACACACACACACACACACACACACACACCCCACCACTACCCTTCCAGCAGCATGGGCAGAGTCATAAGTTTAAAAACGGGTTAGGGTGAAGGAGATGTCGTGAACGTTGTAGAGGAAGTTGCACCCCTTCCGCCCCACCTCCCAGTGGGCAGGCTGTTTTTTGGCAGCAGCTACTGGAAACTTTTTGGAGGACCTGAAGCAGGTGAGGCTCCCTCCTCCCCTGCCACCTGCCCTCTTCAGAGCAGGCATGTTCCCTCCCCTCCCATTCTACTCTCCCTCTCCTGCAGGGCTTGCCATGGAATTTGCTTCTAGGTGCAAGAAGGGTTCGGGAGGAGGGAACCTGCCCACTGCTGCTTCTATCCTTAGCTGACTGGAGGGTGGGGGAGCCCCAAGGCTGCTCCTTCCCTCCTCCAGCTGGGGGCTCTGATAAGGGGCAGCATGGGATGCCTCACTCTGCTAGGGACAATGACAGCAGTGGGTGGGGGTTCCCCCCTTTCCATTGCCTACACCCTGCCTAGAGGACACCCGACAGTTTGGCTGGACAGGGAGCAGGAGCACTGAGAATCCTGCTGCCACTGCTGTCCCTGGGGGCGGGGAATGCCCCCGGACAGTTGCAGCCAAGTGTTGAGGGAAGTACCTGCATACGGTGGAAGAGCCTACACACTGCCGCCACCATCACCTCCCCCAGCTGAACTGTGCTCCCCTTGCACTTGCTCCTGGCAGTCACCACTGGAGTGAGGCAGAAGTATTTCTCAGCTTCCCTCTATGCCTGTCAGCCAGGGAGAGCGGTGGTACCAGGTAGGTTCTTCCTTCCAGTGCATCCCCTAGCCAGCAGGATATATGGTGGTGGAAGCAGAGCCAGGGAGGGTGCACTGGCAGAGGGATCCTGTTTGCAGTCAACCATGCCATGGAGCGGCAGCCAGGAACGTTTTTAAAAGTCCCCTCACCAGGTCAGAGTCCCCTCTTTGCCTCCCCCTCCATGTTCAATGGCACCTCCCTTCCCTGCCCAATCCACTGCTGCCGCTATCCCTGGCTGCCTTGAGGGTGGGGCGGGGGGGGAGCTCCAGAGCTGCTCCTGCCCACTCCAGGTTTGCAGAGCTGGGCTCAAGTCAGGGATAGTGGTAACAGTGGTGTTACCTCTCGGCTCCATGTTCCTGGGGAACCCTGACACAGGACACAGCCTGTCTGACTCACAAAGAATCCCGCCCCAACCACCTAAACAGAAAC